TGTACTGTTGTTGGATTTGTTAGTGTCAATTTTGTTCGTGAGTTGAGTTTTATTGTGAGGAATGTTTGAGAGTTTTTCAACTACAGAACCTATGATACTCTACCAATCAACAGAAGTGACTTGATGGTTTTCTTAAGTAACCTGAATAAAGAATTGCTATCAGTTTAGAATCTTATTTCCTGTACATATAATTTTAAACTTTTTCCTACCAACTGGATCCTTACAGGATATTACTAATGATAAACTCCTAATTTTATTTTAAAAATTAAAAAAATCATTCAGTTTATTACATGAAATTACTTACTTCTTCAAACTGGATAGTTTGACCAGTTTCTATACTTGCTCTGGTAGAATTTACTTTCAAAGAACTCTCTGTACCTGTTTTAGCTGCTGATGTTTCAGTATTTATTAATGATAATTCTTGATGTTGATAATCAAATGTGTTGTTTACTTCCTGGTGCAGATAACTACAAGTATCCATTTGTTGAGGCGATTCCTGCAGGGAGTCGTCATTCTCAGTTGGCCCACCATACTTTCCATCACTAGAACTTTCTCCTGTTGATGTTTCCTGGTGTTGTACACCATTACATTCTGTTTTCTGTTGATGACTATCACTGCTCATTTCATTTCTTGATATTTCATTGTATTGTTCACCTCTGCTGCTTACTTCTTGTATCATTTTCTGGTGGCGATTATCAATAACGTTGGATCCGTGTATGGTAATTTCCTTTTGATAGTCACAGTTTTTTATATTTCCCTGTTTCTCAGCATAATGTCCTGCCCCTGTTGGGTGCTGCTCAACTGAACTTATATTGTGGGAATTAGTAGCGCTACTAGAAACAACAACTATGTTATTATTTGATATTCTAAAATAATTATGTACTTTAGATTCTTGTACAGAATTTTCTTGTGGCTCAGGACCTTGCTTTGAATAATTATTGCCCTTAGATACAGGTGCTTCTGAAGACAATATTCTGTTAACCTCTGATGGAAGTTGAACGTTTTTTACAGAAATAGTGCTCAACTGCTCTGCTATGTTTGCAAATGTGGTAAGTTTATCACTCTGTTGTCCGTTCCCTGTAACACTGGTCATGTACTGTGTTTGAGAAGAAGGCGTACTAGTTCTTGTAGTATTTTGAAGCCCAATGTTTAAGTCTGTTAAATGACTGTGAATTTCACCAGATTCTATTTTATTTTTTCCTGCAGAATCTGATATTGTTTCTACACTTGAGATATCAGTCTTTGATGTAGCATTCCTGATGTACTTGTTACTGTTGTCAGGCGCATCACTGTTTATACCTTCATCAGTTAAAATCTGTGATGGCAGACTACAAGTACTACTAATACTTTTAGGTAAGTCTGTGGATATTACAATCTGAAGAGAATCTTCTAAGCATCTTTTTTTGGGAGGAGGGGAAGACCTAGGCCTACAGTATTGCTCAATGCTTTTATTGGACTTTTCAAAAAGTGAAATATCACATTTGGGATCCGAGTAAAAGACTGAAGTGCTTGGCGAGTCTGAGGGGCATACCGTAATATGTTTCTCTGATGCATCATTTGTTTTAACAGGAACTTGCAATGACGACGTAACTGTCAAGTTCTTATTCTTTGAGTTTACAACACAAATTGAATCCAAAACAGCATCATTGTCACCACCTGACTTGCAGAGATCAAGCGTGAACTCAGTTGCTTCAGCACCAGTCTCTTTTGAGCAATGTGAATCAGAAGGTTCAGTAAAGCTCTGGGGTTCTGAGGGAACCTCTGCCTGATGAGGTTTCTTCCATGGTTTGGTTTGATACACACCCGTTGAGATTCCAAGTAACTCAGCTAGCTCTTCACTGTGAATCTGAAAGCATCAAATACGAACACCTATTGAAGTAAAAATTATATTCTAGTAGACATTACTTCCCAGTTTCCAGGCATTAATTAAAAAATAAACAAAATTACATTGTTTTGAAAAAACAGATAAACTTATTAACATTCAGTTATGGATTACTGCTTTCAAAAAAAACATATAGTGAACCATTTGTTTGTCTTTTAAAATCCAATATTTGTCACTATGATAATATAAAATCCTGCATTACAGCCAATAACTGATATATTTAGAAAAAGTTAAACATGAAAAAGAAAACAAACCGAATTTCCAATGCAAGGAATGTTATATATATTTTGTATGATGAAAGATAAAATTGATTTCAGTATTTTAAAAAATGCATTATGTATTACAGCCCAATCAGAATTGGTTATGACCAGAACAGAACATTAAATTTGCTATAATATTAACATATAGAAAAACCAGTGTTGTACAGACACTTTAATAATTAAAATATTAAAAACATTGGAGAATACTACTCACTACCATTGTATTAGAGCCTTCATTGGAAAATATGTAGATGGTAGTGGTTTTGCTTTACCATAGACAGTTATTCAGCCAAACAAATATTTAAACATTTATCAACAGAACTCTTGATAAGACTTTTGACTTTCCACTTGTATACACTTTGAAAATTGAAAAATCTTGTTTTGGAAATTTTATTTAAGTAAATCTACAAAGAAAGAATAATTCATCTAAATTTGTTTATACTGCTGTTAAACTACAATGAAGCCTAATTAGCTAAATGGTTTTCTAGCAAGTCTGACTTGCTGATGTCTGAAACATTACAGTTAAACATGAATTACAAGAAATCACTTTATCATTAGTGATGAGTTTCAATAAATTTAGAATAACACTTTCGAAGACAATGAAAAAATGTGACTCCATTTCATCCCTCTGTTCAAACACTTCAAAGAATTAAATGAATAAATATTTCCATGAAAACTACACAAAGTACATTTCAGATTACACCTTTTCATTTCACTCACCTTAACAGTTGACCTGCTACTTTCTTCACTACTGTCCCCTGAAGTCTGTGTGAGGCAGTCTTGTGCAAGTGCCCGGACACGTGTCATCAAAGTGGTCAGCTGGTCAAACATGTCAGTAATTTCAAGCTCGTTAGCATCTTCTAGTTGAAACTTCTTTAGAAGGAACTCCCACAGAGAAACAACTCCAGCAAGCCGTGGCAAAACTACTTCCAACAAATCTTCATCAGTACAATGACGAAGAACCTACCCATAGATAGTGATGATAATTAAAACAGAAGAAAACGATAATTCCTACAGAAAAAAAATCTAATTTTCAGTGTGGGAACAAAGAACCTACTCATACTTACCAATGATACCACTTACGAAGAACCTGTATATATATAGTAATGAGAATTCATATAGAAGAAGAACATATCGATAAAAGTATAAATATTTTTATTTTTCTACCAGAGAAATTTCTTGGTTTAAATATGAAGAAAATATTTCAAGACAATCCGCAAAATTATTTTTTTCGTCTTACATACTATTTTTCACACACACACACAAAAAAAGCTTATACTACTAAACCTAGATGAAACCCCAAGGGTTAAAATAACTGGTATCGCATCACAAAATGAAAAGCAAAACCGGCCTTGTGCTAATCAATTTTGATCTTGTGTCACATTTATTGCTAATCAATAAAAAGAGCCATTTAAGAAAGAGAATAAAATATCATATTATCAGCTATTATTTGCACAGCTTCACCTGTAATGCATAAAACAATAAAAAGCCAATTACATGTCAGGATTGTATCTGTCATCACGCTGTAAGAGTCAAGTTGTCCAAGCTATCATGAATTAGATTATCTCAGTCTCCTCTGAAAGAATGGAAACTTCCTACAAACCACTGACAGTGTGCACAGTTTCACTTTCACTAGGTCTTGCCCTATTACACAAAACTTAAGAGGGGTGGTAAGATTACGACTGACAAAAATGTTGACACTGGACCAAATGAATATCAGGTGGTATCAATTTCCAACAGTCTAGCAACGGGTCATGAGCGATCATCAAAACTGTCTGCGAGATGTGTACGAGACACAAAGATAAACTGAAATTGACCAGAAACTTCAAAGCTGCATTCATATCAGAACTTCTTTGAAGTAGGATTGCATAATTAAACACAGGTCTGGCAGGCATATTACAGCAGAAAGAATTGATAAAGGAGACAGGGACCTATAGATCTATTTTACAATCAAATCATATGTTACTGAATTTTAAGTTTTGTTTATTATAAACACATAAGTGAAATGTCCTAAAATACCTAACATTACCTGGAAAGTCAAATAAATAAATAAAATCAAGAAAACTTTTTTATAATTATTAGTTTACTTGCATTTAAAACCAGAAAAAATACTTTATTCTTTTAAACTAATGGGTAAAATCAATATGGAAATAAATTTATCTTCACTGTCTGAGTGTCGGATCCAACTTAAGTAAATACTGATAATTTTAATATATGAAAAGATTTGATTGTTTTTCCAAGTACTTCCATGAAAAATGCTGAGAATGAGAGAGGATGGGCAAGCTTATTAACATCACCTACTTCATGGCTAAGGAATAGATAGCTTTTATAAACTTTCCTGGCATTGGTAAACTGGAAAAGAAGCATGGAGTGGATCTTAATGATACTTACCAGAACAATATGGCCTGCAGGTAATTTACAAACTGTATAGGCCAGCATCTACTGAACAAATTACTTAGCTCTGTATCAAACAACTGATTTTTCTCCTTTCTAACAGATGGCAGCACTGATACTATGTTCATAAAAAAATAGCTTGTTTATTATATCATTTTCACTAGAAACAATAGTAGTTTAAATTCAGGATTATCATCACTGATGGACCTGCTGAGGGTCTGAAACCATTGATTTACAACATTTTGGAGGAAATGGGCATCACTAACGTTCAATCAAAACTTGTAGGACTAGCTGGAAAAGTTAATCTTGGTGCCACAAAAAGAATGGTTGCTCTCATAAGAGATATGTTCTTTTTCTAGTATCATAGTCTAGAACTGCCTGTTCTTGATGCCTAAAAGAAAACCAAGATGTCTATGTAAATTTACTGTCTGTACTAGAATAGTAAAGAAAAAAACAACTGCATGAACTTCGTGAGCATGGTACTATTATGGAGGAATGGAACCCAATGGGTTCAGCAAAACTACTCAAATGCTATTCAGCTGTCTGTGGCCCCCTGAAATATATGGCTGGGAATAAAAAACTGACAAAAGCTAAAGGAATCTTAACAAATATTACAAAATTCTCATTTATAGTACAATTACTTCTCCTGGAAATACTTCTGCACCCATTGTCAAGGCTTTCTATGGCGTGACAAAAAGTTGCCATTGAAAATTCACATGCTCTCTCAGCACTGAAGAATTTTAGTAATAATGTGACTTTTATGAAAGGTCAGGATTGGGGTGCCCCAACTGATTCTGACGTGGCAAACACAAAGCTGACAGTGTTATGTATAAAGATGTGAAACTTAATTATGTTACAGCTGGCCTTGAATCATATAAAGTCATCTGAAAAGGCTTCACTATTAATGAAGAAAACTGTTGTGAATATCTTTTTAAACTAGGTGACCACAAGGAAAACATCTTTAATTGTGCTCAAATTCTGGACAACAGCTTTTGCTAGATAACAGTGACTTACTGGATGATATAGAAATGTAAGTTACCTTAACAGCAGCAAATTTCAACTCAAGTTTTGTGGGAATGCAATCATGATGTTTGATCACTGTCAACAATTTTCAGACTTAGATCACTTCTCCATCAGTGGTTTGGAAGAGAATTCATTAGTTCTACCAACATAAATTCTTTAACATAGCAAATTTAGTGGAAGTTTTGAGAGTACTTCCTTTCCCAAACACAACTGTTGAAATATGTTTTAGCATAACAGGCAAGGCCGAAACTAACTGGAGGACCAGACTTGCTGCTAACACCCTTGAGTACCTTGTGGAAATTAAAAAAAAAACACAAAAGGACCCACTAAAGATGCAGTTGAGATTTTAGCACATCAAGAAGACCTATTGTTCAACCATATATTGAAAAAGACCTAAGCTTGACAGCACAGACCCAGTGTCTGGAAGTTTCTAAACTAGCAGTACACCCACCAGCCTAACTGACACTAACAAGAAAGATAAACGTAATGAATTTAAGTCTTGTCTGCTTGTCAAATGACTGTCAGTCAGTGTGACCACATATTAAGTGACTTTATTTTCAAGATATCATGATAACATCATTTTTATTTATTTTTTCTGATTAAAGCTTTTGCATATATTTGCCTTATGATCATTTCAATTTTATTAACCTAAAAATTCATTATTACAGACAAAGTTTTAGCAGACACAGCAACAAAGCTAATGGTTACATTGTTATATCTAGCATTGTTGACCATCTTCATCTGTTATATATTTCTCTGACTAAGTATTTTCTTTCCCTCAACCAAACACCCCTTATATTTCATGAAAATGTCATAAGGAAAGTATACACCAAGCATAGCACAGGGGTCCAAAATTGACATTTACTACATTGCTATTCAAAATGTACTAACTGCTAATCTATTTTAAGACTGATTAGCAAAAGCTGCTAATCAATTTTTCAAAAGCAATTTAAGCCTTGAAACCATACACAAATCTTCATAATCAAGAATATATGTGTATATTAAGAGAATAATATTGTCTTGCATAGCAGCAGTAAAGAACCAACACACATTGTTCATCATAGCAGTGGTGAAGAATGAACACATTGTTCATCATAACAGTGTTGGAGAACCAACACATTGTTCATCATAACAGTGATGGAGAACCAACATGCATTGTTCATTATAACAGTGATGGAGAACCAACATGCATTGTTCATCATAACAGTGATGGAGAACCAACACTCATTGTTCATCATAACAGTGATGGAGAATCAACACTCATTGTTCATCATAACAGTGATGGAGAATCAACACGCATTGTTCATAACAGTGGTGAAGAATGAACACATTGTTCATCATAACAGTGATGGAGAACCAACACGCATTGTTCATCATAGCAGTGGTGAAGAATGAACACATTGTTCATCATAGCAGTGGTGAAGAATGAACACATTGTTCATCATAGCAGTGGTGAAGAATGAACACATTGTTCATCATAACAGTGGTGAAGAATGAACACATTGTTAACAGTGTTGGTTCTTTGTCTGCTATGATCAGTATTGTGTGGGTTCTTTGTCTCTGCTATGAAGAACAGTGTGTTGGTTCTTTGTCTCTGCTATAATCAATGTTGTGTTGGTTCTTTGTCTGCTATAATCAATGTTGTGTTGGTTCTTTGTCTCTGCTATGAAGAATAGTGTGTTGGTTCTTTGTCTGCTATGATCAGTATTGTGTGGGTTCTTTGTCACAACAAATGAAAAACAGCATGTGTTGGTTCTTCATCACTGCTATGAAACACAGTTTGTTGGTTCTTTGTCTCTGCTATGATCAACATTGTGTTGGTTCATCACTGTTATGAAGAACGGTGTTGGTTCTATGTCTCTGCTATGATGAACGATGTGTTGGTTCATCACTGTTATGAAGAACAGTGTTGGTTCTATGTCTCTGCTACGATGAACGATGTGTTGGTTCTTCATCTCTTCTATCAAGAACAATATGAGTTGGTTCTTTGTCTCTGCTATGATGAACGATGTGTTGGTTCTTCATCTCTTCTATCAAAAACAATACGAGTTGGTTCTTCATCACTGCTATGATGGTTTATACATATTTGTAGCTCAGCACCTTTCCTTTATAACTATTCATAGCCAAAAGATGTATCTACTTTCAAAGTGAATATGCATTCCATTTAATAGGATACCAAAATGGGGGTGATATTAGTTTGTGAATGTATTCAATAAATTCATCTGTGTTTAATTCATTTCAATGTTTTACTGTTGTGCATAGTGGACTGACCACTGAGCATGTATCAGTCAATCTCAATGATCCCTGTTGCACTTAACAGAATTGAATTGGTATTGATTTAATGCTGGGTTGTCCATATGGTGGCTTGCTGGTCATATCTGGACCATGAGGTAGTTCCGACTGGCCTGCACTTTGGTTCATAGTATTACACTTAGTAAATTTCATGTACTTTCAAAATGGGAGTAAAAAAGTAAATATAGTTGTGAGTTCAATTATATGTGTTGGTTCTCTGTGACAACAAATGAAGAACAGCGTGTGTTGGTTCTTCATCACTGCTATGAAGAACAGTTTGTTGGTTCTTTGTCTCTGCTATAATCAATGTTGTGTTGGTTCTTTGTCTCTGCTATGATCATTGTTGTGTTGGTTCTTCATCACTGCTATGAAGAACAGTGTGTGGGTTCTTTGTCTATGCTATGAAGGAACTGATTTTGCACCCACAACAAAAAAAATATATTTATTTACCATGTTTTCATTCTAGAATATTTGTGCATTGTAATAAGACAATTACACATTATTTATTTTTACAGCCTAACCTAATAGATTTTTCTTCTTCTTCTTTTTAATCTAAAGTTGAACTTTGACCCTCTCAGAGTATGGTAGTAGCTATTTATTACACCTGATATTTGTTTGAACAATTGATCTAATTACCATTATGCCTGTGTCGAATTGCACAACTACGTTTACTCTTGGTGTGTACTATCACTGTCCTGATTAATCATAAGAATATTTATTCATTTTATTTAAAATTCAATGTAATAATTTTATAATTTTTACATTTTAGTTACTTCTAAAACAAAAAATATATATATAAATTAAAAAAAATATTACTTACATCTGAAATCTCGTCTTCATCAAGATTTTGTACTCATACAATCCAAGTCAACATCAAAGCTTAGCCCTAATTAAAAGTAAAGACCATGTGATCTCAAAAATATTTGTTAAAATTCAATTATCCAATTTAGAATTCTAAATACCATTAATCATTGTTTAGTTATTGAAGATATTTCTCCTGCTTTTTAGGTAGACATAATATGCTATTAGGGAGAACTTGAGGAAGACGAGTAAAACTCCAGGCCTCAAATTACTTGGGAAGTATTTATAAACACTTACGGTATTTAAAGTACAAGACCAGAAAACAATTGGGGAATAATTGACAAGTTGATGAACCAAGTCTCTAGAGTTAGGATAGAGAAAATAACAAATAAAATAGTTTTACAGAAAATAAAACTTTGATATTCCTTTAGGAAGTTCTAGAGGTTACTCAAATGAAATTTGAAAACTATGAGAGGAACAAAAGTATTTAAAAGCTTAATATGAAAAATATTTTGCACTCAGAATCTTAGTAAGAGTCTGCCTATACAAATTCACACAGAAATCTTTAGTAAAAATACCTAATGAAAAGGATACGGTTTTTTGTGTACAAGATACTTGAAATGTTTACTAAAAGCTTGCAAAATATCACAAAGACACACTCACTACATTAAAATTTATAGTCTGTATTCTTTCATGGTTACCTGTTGGTTATAGAGTTAAATAGAAAAACCATTAATGATTGTATGAAATGTTATTTTCTGATCAATGAAACAAAAAACAATTTCATGTTTTTTCTTTGGATTTTGAACAGTATATGTCACATGTACTAATAAGGTCTAGAAGACAAAATGTGATTCTGGCAACACAACATGACCCCCAAAGAATTGTTGTCGATCCCATTATATTTAAGCTCACAGCAAGATTTATTTGTCATCAACATTATTTATGGTTGCCACAAGGTGTGAGCTACATGTGTATATAAAAAACATCTATTAAAAACAAAGAAAATAAAAATAAACCACAAATTAACATGTACATTAGGCATTCAACATAAATAACATCGTGATAGGTTTGTTGCTAAAGATAAAACTAGACTTAAAGAAGCTTGGAAGGAATCAGTTCAGTCACTTCAGAGACCTATTAACAACCAGTTCTCCAGATTCAAGCTCAAATATAACAGAGGAAGAGAACATAAAGTTACAGAGACATCTCCAGGAGCTCTTTACACAGATGGATATGAACAAACTGGAGAAAGGCAATTGAAAAATATGAAGGACTATCATCAGTGAAAGGAAAAACACTGTCAGGAGAGCCAGTACAGCTTTCAGATCTGAGTATGTGATGATTCTGAATGCTGCCCGCAAATAGCAGACAACCATTTAAATCTCAACTGGCTCCCAGTTCCTGTTATGTCTGATGACAAGGTCCACTTCATAACATTTGCAACAGTTTATGACCAGGAAAATGAAGAAGCCAGACCTAGTTTGCAAAAGAAAGTGGCCAACAAGAAATGGGTTCCAAAGCCAAAAAAAAAGACCAGATTCAAAACCCAAGAACAGAGCACAGCCTGCATATTTAAAGACCAAACTCACCACCCAATGCACAACTGTTGAGAACCAACCTTCCCCAGACTCAAAGATGTGCACTGCTCAGAATGCCAGTTGAACGTGTCGAGTGTAGTAAACCACATGCAATATATATAGCATAACAAAGTTTTCTGAGTGACATATGCCAGAATTAATGATTACTCTTGTGGGTCTTCACTAAACCCACCAGGTCATACTTTTCATGAAAAAGCTTTTGTAAGGCTTAATATCATCTGCAAATCCCCCACTGAAACTCCTTACTACAGTAGTAGTATGGCACATGGAAATGTACGTCTTTATTGTGGTTTTACCGGTGCACTGAGAGATGCAGAGTTGAATGAATGCTAGAAGTCTGTCTATCCACTTTGTCAGGACTGTGCTTCCAATGGATACTTACCTGCATATATGCAACCATATGGCAAAGGATAAACTAAGAACATTATCAAAACAGTCAAAATGGACTCAGATTTTTGTGGAAACAAATCTATTACATCTTTCAACCAACTTCTCAGTTCCTGTATCTCAATGAGGTTTATTCACCATAGTCATAGGTGTCGATTTTGTTCATTCTTGGAGTTCGTAAACCTTTGTATGCTTTAAAATAGATGTAAACATGCATACAAAGAAGTATTTTTAATCAATTTAAGAAAATGACATTGCAACAAAACTTTTGACATTTATGTATAAACAATTGGTGTTAGTACACTAACATGAATAAATAAAAAATATATATATACTTAAAATATCTCAAATAGTCTAATTTAAGATATACTTCCCCACATTTCTGGCCTAGAACCTCCTTATTTAGGTAAGGCTAGAAATTTTTTGGCAGGGCCAATTGATTTCCAGTACAACTTGCACAGTTGTCCAGTAGTTTTGTCTAGTAAATTTTGAACACTGTAAAATTATGCTAAAAAAAACCCACTGCTACAAAAATCCCTCCACTATTAGTAAAAAAAGAAAGAAATCAACCCTTGAGTCTGTAAAAATGCTACTAATATAGAAAAGTTATCAACTGAAAACAAAAAAAAAAGATTTACACCTTAGCAAATAAGGAAGCCTTTTCTTTCTCTTTTCTCTCTGTTTTTACTTGTTTGAATAGCCTTTGGTGTTTTTTACAGAACTGAACATAATTTACCACAAAACTTGTGACAATTACATTTATAACTATTAACATTAACTGACGCATAAAAGTTGTGTACTCTAATGACAGTGACTTACTGATTTTATATCCAAACTAAACAATAACATTAAATAAAACTTGCATCTTTGAGCTTATTTTGTCTTCTAATTTTTGCTACATTAACACGTCTTCTTGGTTTTTCAATAGGTTCCGAGTTTGCCGTTTGGTTTTCTGTAGAGGCAGAACCACAAAGGTTTTTGCTCGATATGTCAGGATCTGTTTTGGATGTTCCATCGATCTTCTCACTAACTGTGGCTTCTTTTGCAGAATCAATGACCGAGGCAATTTGTCCAGTGGATGTTGTGCTGTTAGAAATGGCTGATGTGTTTGAATTTTCATCTGTGAAGAAAAACTATAACTGTATTTCTAAATAGATAGAGAAAATCAAACTATAAAACCTGATTACATGAAACTGATCTTTTTAATTGAAAACCAGGTAATAAAACACTAAAATATATCCACCATTTTGAATGGTTTATTTTTCAGTTCCTGTAAAACAGTAAAAAACCACATATCTGCCATTTTGTTTTACAATTCTCAGTGCTCGATTTTCAGGAAATTTCCAAGTTGTCCTACAGACAACCTGACCTTTATCAAATGTTGTCTGGAAGGTTGTATTGGTTGTCAGAATAAAAACAAAAAACACATAGACCCTCAAAAAAGATCCAATTATGACAATATTAATGTAAAAAAAAAGAATAAAACAATTACAAGAATTTTGATGTTTATATATCTTATATATATTTCCAAAAAGTACAATTCGTGTTTAATTGGCAATTCTCCATCTTTATACAACTAAGTTTTGATGCCTTATTTCCCGGGAAGTTTTTTGTTACATTGAAATAAATAAGCCCAAACCATGTTAATGTTAAACAGTATCTTAAGGAAACAAGCAGTCAATGATCTGTAAAACTATTAAACAGAACAGCGATCTTGATAAATCATGTTCAACATTCTAACTAGCTTGGCCTGCCTACCAAGTACAGTAAACTACAGCTTGTAGTAAAGACTGGACTTGCATCAAAACTCTCACACATACTACCATACCATAATGCCTGAGTGCTGCACATGTACGCATACTGCTGACATATATGGTCATTCACACTCGTAGTTTGTATTGACCCAGACAGAGACAAAGTTAGCCTTATTACATTTATTGTTACTCTGTTTCGTACTGATCAAAACTGTCATAAAATTTGTTTGCAGCTATCATTATTATTTTATGTTAAATTTATGGCTTTTCCCACTTTTTTTTTTATCATAGCTAGGGACTTCTCTATTTCCTAGACTCAATTGGTCTTATCTGTCTAATGTTAGCCTTAGGCCTATACGTGCATAATCAAAAGAGGGGGCAAGTGTTTCAACTGTGATGATTAACAATGAAAAATTCTGAATTTGATTGTCTTAGTCCCAAGCAAAGGTTTATCGGTAAGAAGTTGAGACAGATATGTTAGTTTTGTTGTCATACAAACTTCACGCAATACAACGTGTGGTAATGTAACTAACTGAGCTGTATACACTGTACAGTGTTACCACACATAGCCATTCATGATCAGTTGAACTCCATACAACATATACTTACATAAAGCAGAACAAAGGCACAATTTGTCCAAGATAGAAAGTTTAGTGACTAAAACAGAATTATTAGCCAATCACAAAAGCAACTTTTCTTAATGTTCTCAGCCCTTTTTGGTGGATTGTACCAACATTTCTCTTATACAAAGTACAATCTTCTTTTGAACAAAAAAATACCCAAAAAAAATATTTTAGTGGAGGGATTCAAATTTTCAAGTTCGTAGTTAGGAATCTACCGATGATTTTGGTCGAGGATCAGGGTCAACATTACAGGTGTAGTGCGTGCATGGACAAGTGTTCAGTAGACTGCGATGCTGTTTTGGGTAAGGGTCTGTTCCAGGGCGCTAGTTATTTGTCGGACAATATGGGGGTTTAAGTCAGTCGTCCAAGGACATTTTTAGTAATCTCATACAACCTTTTAAAATTGAGCCATGATTCTATCACTGCAATGAAGTGACTACAATTTATTAGTTATTAGAAAGGAAACTTGTGCTATACCATTAAACCAAATTTTGTTAGTGTTTATACAAAAGATGTAGAGATAAACTTTAAATACTTTATACAAAATAGAAATTAGAAGATAGGAAGCTTAAATTTTGACATGTTAAACATTATATTGAAATAGAAACAAAAAGTAATATCTAACAATACTCCTCTAGCATAACTGTTGAACAATTTGGTAGTTAGTGGAAGAAGATATTAGAATTGTTGTGTTGCACTAATGAACTGTTGAACAATTTGGCAATACAACAATTCTAATATCTTCTTCCACTAACTACACTAATGAACTGTTGAACAATTTGGCAATACAACAATTCTAATATCTTCTTCCACTAACTACACTAATGAACTGTTGAACAATTTGGCAACACAACAATTCTAATATCTTCTTCCACTAACTACACTAATGAACTGTTGAACAATTTGGCAACACAAGAATTCTAATATCTTCTTACACTAACTAAACTTCTCTAATAAATTGTTGAGCAATATAGCAACACAAGAATTCTAATATCTTCTTACACTAACTAAACTTCTCTAATAAAGTGTTGAGCAATATAGCAACACAAGAATTCTAATATCTTCTTACACTAACTAAACTTCTCTAATAAAGTGTTGAGCAATATAGCAACACAAGAATTCTAATATCTTCTTACACTAACTAAACTTCTCTAATAAAGTGTTGAGCAATATAGCAACACAAGAATTTGAATGATAATATATTGTTCCACTAATAACAATTCACTAGTGAATAGATGAGAAACAGAGAATGTAGGGTTGTAATAAATTAGGTTTATGGATACCTGCCTGGAATGAGGTATTTTTTCTGTGTGTTTCCAATACAAATAGAAAATGTCCTACATATGCATAAATTTCTTATGTTGCTCAAGTCTTTGTTTCATACAGATTATTGTAACTTACTTCCAGAGAGATAACATACAGACAAGGGACCATCTGTTCTTTCAAGGCTGTCTTTGCACACTCACCTTTGAGAAAAAGTAAAAATTTAAGTGAATCCTTTATTTTTCAGGAAATCAATAATTCCCCTATTAAGCTCACATAAGGTGCTGTCCACCACTACAGCCAATGGCAAATTATTCTGTAAGTCAATCACCCTGTTAAAAAATAAAACTCTTATCCCCCAGATAATCTTGTAAACTTCTATACGATTGCCTTTTATCCTCCATTCCAGAAGATAAAATCTAGAGATTTTAACCTATCCTTGTAAGATAACCCTTCCATCCCTAGAATCATCCCAGTAGCACTCCTCCTCTGAATCCTTTCCAATAAGTCAATATCCTTCCTTAGATAAGGAGACCAAAACTATATACATTATTCCATGTGAGGTCCGACTGATGATTTGTAAAGAGATAACTATCTTTTTTGACTTGTAATCAGTATTTCTATAAATGTACCCTAAAATTCTATTAGCTTTGCTACTAGCAAGCAACATCAGAGCACTGCTTCAATGATTTATCCACCATTATGCCAAGATTCTTTTTCTCAGCCACACTAGTAAGTTCCTATCTATATTAAATATGTGTCCACGTTACAACAGCCAAAATTCTTTAACTTACACTTACTATAATTAAAAGTCATTTACCAAACATCTTCAATACTGATAGAGTTTAATGTCATCAGAAAACTTTATTAATTTACTAACTATGCTCTTATCAATATAACATAACATAAAATTTGAAAAAGAAGGGCAAGTTGGTCCATTTAGGCTGTCCCAAGCACTAAACTTAGCAACTGGGAAACTCAAAGCCATCCTTTATCATTAAAATATTTATCAACTCATGCTTTAACTGTTTCAGCACGGGCTCAGTCCATGGACCAGCCTCGTAACCATTTTGTGCTTGTTATAGTTTTCATGCTATAACTTTTAAATTAGTAAGCAAATGTTAACGAAATTTGGCAGATTATCAGTAAACGTTACAATGCTTTCATATGCAAAATATAAATTTTTTTTTATTAAGTCTAAAGGATTATAAAGCAATGTTTTCTCGTGTCTTTTTTTTTCTTTTCACATGTTGCCTATCCAATATGCAAAGTAATATTCATTTTAAGATTAAAAATACTTTAATGCATCAGAAAATTTTTAAATTTCACATGCAAAATGTTCATAATGTCTGAATAGTTACCAAATGTTTCTTAAGAAAAAACTTTATATTTTATCTGTTATTTTCAGTAATTAATATCTGTACGGGTTCGGTAGATTTGACTGATCTCACAACCACTATACAAAATTAGGAAATAAATATAAATTATGTCTCTTTCATTCTAGAATGAACACAAATTATAACACGAAAGCATAAACGTTTAGACTAAATAGCTTAAATCTCATAACATTATACATTTATATATATTTATTACTTTTATTATATTGACCTTTCAGCCATGCCTGGCTAACAATACAGAAGTTACAATGACACAGCTAACGTGCACTCATGTTACTGTATCAAATAACATACAACTGACTTTTAGTCTGTAAAAAGTAACTTTTCTTGGCTGTGTTTTAGTGAACTAGTATTTTGTAAAATATAGTCACATATCAAATATTATATATGTATATAGATTATTGCTATTTTGAAATAAGTTCTTAAACTTATTTTTCTTAAAACATAGAAGAGTAATTAAAGAAATAAAGCACACAATTATCTCTTCTAGTTACGACCTTTGTACTCAGTTGCTGCTTGACGTAGGTTGCTGAGCCTTAAATTTGCACATGGAGGATATGAAACAAAATATTTTTTTAGGTTTTATATACTGTATTTTTCGGAACATAAGACGCACCCTTATTTTGAAGACAAAGTTTTGGGGGAAAAAAGCTACAGTCACATTGGAAAGATTTTTATTGAACAAAAATTCAATTTGATACTTTAAAAATTAGTATATATTGTTCTAAACACAAAAGAGTTAATTTGAATCCAAGGCAAGCACTCAAAAACGATTTTTTATTTCTTAAAGTTAGGCCTGAAACAGCCTTATTCTGCTCCACATTAAACAGGGATCGTCGTGTATTTACAAGCTTTTTCACTCTCATCCATTACTATAATTTATTTTTTATTATTTAGGGAGCATTATAAATAACACATTCAATTGAACTAAACTATGCATGCCTATTTAAATATATCTACAC